TCGGGCTCGCTTTGGAGGTGAAAAAGGGCACCCTCGAAGGAAGTGAGAGTGGAGGGGGATAAAAAAAGGGCACCCCTAAGCAACTCAAAACCTTCCGCATCCAACGCTTGCCCGCAGCAATCTGTTCTCTCTCCTGCCCTCAACTCAAAACCTTCCTGCCTCACCCACGTGAACTCCCACCGCATAAGGAGTGCCCTCTTCAGTGTGGCAACTAAAAATGAGCGCCCCCAAGCAACGCAAGCTTGCCCGCAACTGCAATCTGGTCTCTTTCCTGCTCTCAAGTATAGGGTGAGTTCTAACCACTTTTCACGTCCCCTTGTCTTCCCTCTCCTCTCATCGACGCGAACTCCCACCCCTACTAATTACAATTTATACATTGCCTCCTGAGCCCCTCATGATGCTGATGATGCACTCTTCGCCGTCAACTTTTCGCTCTCCACCAGGCTCTGGGTCAGCCTCTCCAAGATTGCCCCTCTCGCAACCACCCCACCCACACAACTCACTTCGTTCGCATAGCTACCTCAAGCCTTGCCTATCGGCTGGCTTTCGTGATTGTGTATATGTATGTAATTTTTTAAACCCTAGCCCCACGCCCAAATGTCATTTTTGGAGATCTGTCAGGGTGATCCAGTTGAGAGGATGAGCATTGTTGCCGTACCTAAAAAGCAGTCCGGCAGGAGGCTGAGATTTGGAGGGCCAGATTCTTCTGAAATGTCTTTGACGTTTCGTCTGAATATTGTCTCCATCTGCTGTAGCCACAAGTCTTCCATGTAAGGCCTCTCAAAAATTCCATTGGGGGATGTGGTGTGACTTGCGAGACTAGCATTAGACATGAAGTTTTGTGCTAAGGTCTGTGCAAGACCAAACGCGATAGCATACAGTGCGGGCGGAGATTTGCCTCCCAAGCAGGAGAAGCTTGAAAACATGCATAGGAGTATATGGTTGTGTATTAAAATAGGATAAACTAGGAAGGCCTCCCAAAGATCCCCCAAAGAAGGAAAGTAGACCAAAACCTATTGGTTCTTCACACTCCCTTAAATGCTATTTCTATCTTCCACACCTGCACCGGCAAACTGCACTGGTTGTCGACGACCTCCCCAAGACCAACCTCATTGCGATCTGCTTGAAAGGGGCTTACTTCTTACAATGACCTTCAGGCAAGTCAAAGAATTTCTGCTACTCCCTCTCTTGTCAAGTCTGCTTGTAAAAACGATGTCAAACGACTGGTTTGTGACTGGTGTGAGGTTCCGACCCCAGATTTCAAACCTTGCCGCATCACGATGAGGCCAAACCCCATGAAACATTGCCACTTAAACACTGCCACTGGGGTGCAGCATTAAGCACTCTGCCAACGCCGTTGCTCTTCAGCAACTTCCCGCTCATCAAACACCTTTGCCAGAACAAGGTGAGTTGTTTAGCTTGTGACCAGAAAGTCAGCAACCAGATCTTGCCATCTAGTTCCATCAGTTCCGTCCAAAGCAGCTGACTGTTGTGTGTTGAAAAGTCGACTTTGGTGGCGGTGGCGGTCGTTCTTCTAGAGGCAAGGCCTTCGTTTGAGCACTCAGTTTCAGCAAGGCTCGTCTCACACCAAAAAGAAAGCCTGAAGAAAGCTGGAGTAGTCTGGCCATGTTCCAGGCAGCCTCCCAGTCGTCGCTCTTACGCTCAGTTTACTGAAATCGGCCACAAATAGAACTTCTCCGCTCTTGAACGCCTTTTTCTTAGCCTTCTTTATTAAGTAGGCGCCTACTTAATTAAGGGAGAAGTTCGCTCCTAGCTAGGACAGGATAGCTCACGCTCGCGCTAATGATTCGGTTCCTCCTTTTTCTTCAACAAGGATGCTCACAATACCTGGTGGCTCTCAGCCACACCAGGAAGTTGTGCACAGGCTGACGCAGCTTAGCTCCCGTGTGCACTCCTCCATTTTGGTGAGCTATGCCAGCTATGCCGGGCTGCCAGGCTAATTAAAAGCTTTGTGTGTTTGTTGCCAAGCTCCAAAGCTTTCACTCAAAGCGCTTGCGTTTCAGTCCGCGCAAAGCTTCTCGCTGTGCTTCCACCACTGAGTGGGCAGCATTGTCGCAAAGACCTATCCAAGGCCAGGCATTCTCAAAAAATAAAATGATGCATCAAGAAGCTTAAAGGGCAAAACAAGCAACATTGGAAACGTGTTCGTATGTTTTTTAATTGTAATATGTGTTCCTAAAAGTGAAGTGAAACCACCCAGAACCAAAAAAAGGGGCGGTCTCCTGCATTGAATAGGGTGACTTTGAGCATCACCTCTGGCCAATCGGTCGTCAACTTCAGAAACCTCTGCTGTCAAAAAGCGGTCAAGATGTCTCTTCTGAGCACCAAATTGGACCAAGCTAGTCACACGTTTCGATCATGTTGACCATCCAAGCAGCCCCGGCGTGTTGGCGACAGCTTCCACGTTTTCTTTGATGAATGCAAGACAAGCTCGCTGCAATTGCTTGGCGTCAAAGAGGTGCGCCTCAGTTCGCTGTTTCGGGCATGATTCCGACCATGAGCAGAATCCATCCCTACTCAGTCCACACATCATGTCAACTGACGGGTTTAGAGATGTCTTGGGATGCTTATGGATGCTTTCTTTTGGCTCAGCCAATTCACAACCCAAAAAATCCCTCAGCACTTGGCACCTCGCACCACTTAGGCCAATTCCTCGCCTGGCACAGCACACCCGAGACCTCACTGACCGTCATGCGATTGCAAAGCCGCGCTTCACACCAGAGCTGCAAGCGGTTCACCTGACATCCACCGGTCGCGCCAGCGGTCGGTCTGAGCAGCGGTCGCGCCAGCGGTCGGTCTGACGCGGAATGTCCGACTCTCTGACGTTCTTTTCTGTACGGGCAACGCAAAGGGAGTGGGATGCCCAACTGTAAATCAGCCGAAACCAAACGGACAGGAAAACCCCTTCAGGATCCTTCAGGGTATCACAGCCATTCTCATCTTGCACTGAAGCAAGAGAAACTGTGCAAAATGACTTGTGTGCTTGTGCTGGGCTCCTTTTGACAAGACCATGCAAACTGTTTGTTCTCAAGTTCATCGGCCAATTCAATTCTTGCAATTGAAATCGCTTATGTGTGCTTATGTATATTAAATAGGTCCTTTTGGCTGCATACATGGATATAATGTAAAAGGGGGGTGGGTCGGCTGTGTGACTCGTGCCTGGTATCGGTGGCTAATCTGCAGCAGCTGATGCAGCAGCTGGATCCTAAGCCGGATCCATTCGGCGCCATCCCAACAGCTGCGTACACACAGCTGCGAAAACTTCCGACTCGGAACAAGGCCGAAAGACTTGCGCACCAAGGAGCTCTGCACTGACCTTGGCCAGGTTGCAATTCCTGCTGTCCACCGCCTTCTGATTTCTGCAAACATGCTCCACCAGCTCTTGAATGTGATCGAAATCATCCTGAAACAGGGCCATTGTCACTCAGTGCACTATCAGGATGCTCCTCTGTCAAGACTACATCGTGAGTCATTCTTTAGCTTGCAATTCTGCATTCTGCCACCCTACCATCAACACCCACCACTAAGCCACAGACAAATATATAAAATGTCAAAACATGTTCTCATACATCATAAATATCTAGGAATATGCATTAGACAAATCCTAATTTTGAAGTGCTGTGAAGGTTTTCCACACTTCCATGTGTGCTACAGTGGAGAAAGCACCCCCAGTCTCAGCTGGAGGGTGCTAAGCGACAGTGGTGTAGGGAGGGTCCTTCCAAGCAACAATGGCATTCATGGTTTCTCCAGTTGCGACGTCTCGGGTTTCTATCGCGGCCTGTGTCTCGTCCACTCAAAAGCTTTCCCTGCTCTGCGAACTCTTCTTCCCAATTTATATACACCAAGTTTCAGTGTACAAGAACTGCAGCATGGCCTTGAAAATGTCAACTTCGCAGTCTTCCACGACGATCTCTTTCGAGATCGATTCGCGCATCGCGCCAAAAAGCTCACTGGCAAAAAACTCGGAGCGTGCAAGCAGGATCTGGGAATGCGCGCGGATCTCTTCGCCCTTGACCATAAATGTCACGTCTGCACCTTTGCCGCTATCCTTAGACTTTAGGCAAGCTGCTAACTCTACTGTGCACGAGAATGTTCAAAAGTGTGATTCTCGTTTGCCATTGTCAACACCCAAAGGTTGGCTGTTTTTTATGAACAATGCACAGAAAACACCGACAGATTGCTTCTTTGCTCAAGGCTCAAAGAGAGCTCGGAAGTGCGAGCAAATGGACGATGAAGGGACGTCCACTCGCGACGTTTTCACGATCTTTGTTGAAAAGCCATCTTCCGGTGGAAGCACTTCCACTTTGATTTTCACGCTGAGAGCATCTCCCGTGACCCACTCGGATCGCAACAGCTGCCTTAGAGGACATGGACAACAGGGGACAGCAGGTCCTGAGGTGTTTTTGGGACACGTGCTCGTTCGTGCTCCACATGAACAACCATAACGGATACAATGGATACTCGACATGTGGGATGAGTGGATACAACTTCATCCCCACACACATCGAAGCACCGGCTGTTCAGGGACAGAAGCTGAGGACCAAAAAGAGCCCAACAAAGGAGCCGTTTGGTTGGGCCCAGCTGCTCATGAGTCAGGCCGAAGATCCCAACAGGCTTGGCAGGGCCATGTCCTGCGCGAAGTGAAAGACGGCGACTCGGCGACTCGGTGCATTGCTGAGTCGGCTGACCAGGCTGACCGGATCACAGACCTGAGACGATCAGAGCATGGTCCGCGGAGGATTTCGCGACCTCCAACCAGTGAACGACAGCTGAGCATGGACTGGGGAGGAAAGCCGGAAGTTTGCTGATTGGTGTTTGATGATGTTTATCTGTTTGTCTGGCAAGTACGGATTTGATTTGGGTTCCCTATCACAGCGGCTAAACAACTGACCAACCAGACTTCAACTGAATGTTCTTCTCTGACTTGGATCCCCAGGTCTGTATGTTTTCCCGTTCACTTCATCCTTTTGACAAGGTGGCCAGGCCACGAAATGCTTCTGCACAGAACTTGCGGTAGCACGGGTGATTGTATCTCACCAAAACAGACCTACAAACTTATGCCTGAGTGCCTCGAATCCTTCAATTTGACGTCCCAAAATCTAGCAGGCAAAAACAAACGAGACAAGTTCTATGAACACAAAGAACACCCCCTGGCCGCCCTGGCTCTACTCACCCTACTCCCTAAGGTGAAGGTGTTGTGGATAACCTGACCGTCTTCCTCAGCCTCCTTCGCAGCTCTCCTTCGTGCACATCTGGCCCAAAGGCTCGGCCCAATGTGTCGCTCAATGGATGGCTCTCTTCCTCCAGTGTGGTCGCTGGAGCTCGTCAAGCACCCCATGGACGGCGATCAGTACCCATCGGGAACTCCCCGGGAAGAGGCACGGGGCACGAACACACAAAAGTGAAGAACACGTGGGGAGGTTGGAGAGAGTGACTGTCCACTTCGAGTTGGTACATAAGTCCAAGTGGTGGTGGGACACAGCAACAAAATCACGCCCTCTCGAGCTTCTACACTTAATGTTCCTCCGAAGACCTGCGCTTTCGTCAACTGAGGCCAGGCACCGAAGTGGGCCCCCACTGAACATACTCTCCATCGCTGCGCTTGATGAAGAACTGATGCCGAAAGGTGATGCCCCCGCTCTCGTTGTGGATGATGGCCAGTGACCCGCGTTGGTTGTCGTCACCGATTTCGCCACTGCGCGGATGATAGACCTGAGGCGGGTTGATTTGGCGCCACCGATCAAACACAGCATCATGAGCTAGCGATGGGACAGCATACGCAGTCTTATGGACTTAGCTCTTTCGATGGGCTGGATGGAATGAAACGTTCAAAGAGTTTCTGCATATTTTAACGTCAACTCGCTTTCCTCTGCCAAGACTAGTTACAGTTATGAATGTTGCGACTCGGACTGGTATCTACTGGTCTTGGTGCCACCGAATCATCGCAAACACGAGTCCCAGAAAAGAAAGGATTAAAATTTGCATTCTGATGTCTGTAGCAATGCACTAATCAGCTTATGTGAGCAAATTTGGCATTTGCACCCACGGCACCGAAGGGCAACTGGCATGTGGTTTGCTGCTTTTGTGCCGCTCGATGTTTTGACCAATGCTGACACCAACAGATCCACCAGCAACGCTAAGCGTTCTTGAATTGATGCTCCTGAATCCTGAAGGTAAAGAAAGTAGGGTAAGAAGGAGATGGACTCAGATGGACCTGTCCATCCTTCGATTTCAGAATTTGTTGTGTGCTGGTGTCAAAATCCCTCTTTGACAAAGCATGGACTCGGAATTGCATGTGCAGCATGAACTATACTTTTTCAGCATAGTCAGATTCAGTGTCACGTCTCTGCCAAAAAGAACTGGTCGAACGACCTAGTCAGGTTCAAAGGTTAAAACTCTAGATTACAAAATCTCATTCTGGGATGCTGGCTTGGCAAGGCGTCATGACAACATTACTGGACAACAAAAGGTCCTTACTTAAAAGGATCTGATCTCAGCTAAGACAGATGTGGGGCTTCGTGCATTCATGGCACACATTCAAAGCTTGTGTCTCCCACTAGAAACGGCTGCTCTGCAGCAGCTACAGATTGTGCCCTCTTCTTGAGTGCCACAACCAGCCAAGACATGCCTTCAATGCGCCATACATACCTGATCATGAGCAAGCAACTCTGCACTTTCCGTGACTTGTTCCATATCAAGAAGCAAGAATCCATCGTTTTAGTACACACTAGAATCACTAGAATTGGTTTCGGCAGTTCCAAGAGTTTGGTGTGGCCCAAAAGTTGCCAGTCGAGACCCTTCTCTCTCACCTCGTGTTTGAAGTCAAGACACTCGTGTCTGTCAATGACTTTGCTGTAGGTGGTGACTTCCCCTGCTGGTCGCCCAGCACAGCTCACGGGGTCTTGTGCTGGTCGTGGCTTTCCAGGCATGAAGGTGCCATCACCTCAGCCCGCCGTGACTCGTGAGGGCGAGAGCCGGTCCCTGCGGTCGACTCGGTCCACTCTTAAAAGCCTGTGGAGCTGGGAGGTCATGTTTTCATGGTCTTAATACAATATGCTGCTGCTTTTAATGTAGAATCTTGATGAACAACCACCCCCCAATTTGGATGCACGCACTCGCGGTCCTTCGCACCCACAAACTGCCCCTTGTTCACAGGTGGAACGGGTACAGGTGGGTAGTAGTCCATATGCGAGACGTGTGAAAAGCTCCTAGCCAAAAGGAAACGACATGGTAATATGTACAAACGAACGAACACAGCATTGCATGGGCGGAGTCGGGTAACCTACGTATCACAAAGGCATTCAAGCACCTAATTTACTCCTGGGTGGTGAATTAAATCGAAAGCCTTTTTTCTGGCCATATGGTTCCTTACTGAGCGTGCAAAGGCTTCGCGCTTATGTAGCACGATTTCTGGCCATGCGGGCCAAGCAGGAATGTCATGGCCAGTGGGGATGACCGGGATTTCGAGATCTGTGCAATATGGCGGATTATGGGGGAGCGTGAGCATAATTTTCTCTAACCAATTGTTTACGGCAATTGCGTGCGGGATACTAGGTCTACGAGAGATACCGCTACGATGATCCATGGCAAAACCCAGCCGTGTGAGGCTAGTTGCCCCTTGCTGTTTGTATACCGGCATAATTTTTGTGGCTGAGAATGTTTGGATATGCTTAACCATGTATCGAAAAGATTCCGACACAACTCGCAATGAACGGCTCTTAAGTGGAAGTATTTTAACTTTGTCATCTTGAAGCGAGTAGGCATTCCAAACTTTACCTTCTCTAATCTTAATGGGTAAGTGCTGTCCGGACCAAAACATGAAAGCAAGTGTAAGCTCAGTCCACGTAATGCCTGGGTCATCTGCCAAGCGGGGCGCGTCTGGGCATGGCCATTGAATCTGCATACAAAAGAGCCACACCAAGCGTGTAATATTCGTGCCCCATGTGCTGGACCAAAATACGACACGATGTGGTTCAGGTGGGTATGTGAACAGTGAACCCTGGTGGTGCCAGTTTGCAAGACGGTCAATATGGTTCCTAAATGGATTTTCAAGGTTGGAATTCGAAGCACGTGCTTCTCGAGATGTCTGACCTTTCTTCTCATCGATCAGGCTCATTCGAACACATGCCAGGGCATGCAAGTATTCTAGAATCTGCATGGTTACTTTGTGCTGTTCACGGTAGTGGGTTTGGACTTCCTGGCACAACTGATCGAACTCTGGTAAATCGGTTTTACGGCATTGGACGGCTGCCTTATCCGCGCATTCATTTCCCTTAATGTGCCAAAGGTCCTCTTGCGATCTGGCATCTTCATATTTACGGTGGGACGCAATTTTAATAACAGACATTTGTTGAGGATCCCACAAATGCATCAACTGTCTGATAAGATCCCAATGTGCGCGTTTATGTGGGTGAACGTGTATCGTGCGAGATTCAATTGCTTGAACAATGCCCATGACGAATTGGGAATCTGTACAAATCTGAGCTGGTGTCTGGCCTATTGTAAACCGTATCTGTTCTGTGGCTATCAGGAACGCAAACAATTCTGCTCTATTGATTGTTTGGTGGCCCGGGCAATGGTCATTGGCAGTTACTGTAAGCGTATAGGTGGTTGGGTCTTCGGGCTTTGGTTGGCGAATAACCACTGCCCACGCGGCTCTGGCTGCGTATGGGTCTGTTGGCGCGTCACATGAGCCGTCGGTGTAAAACACTGTGCCTGCTTGGATAGAGTCAAGTGCGTGGTTGTATGCTGTGTGAATACGAAGATGCATGGCTTGCTTTAAAAGCGCTATGTTCGGAGAGTGTACTGGTAGGGGGAACCAGCACGTGCGTGGATTATTTTGCATATAGGTTACTGCATCTGTGTGTTGTTCCCGGACATTTTTAAAGGCTTGGCAATGGAGTAGTTGGTGGGTATGTGTATCTGTGTGTTCACACCAATCGCATTTTTCTGATTGCGTCGCACTCCAAAGGGCTAAGCCACTATTTGATTGCCAACCCGCCGACATGGTTAATGCTAGGATCCTTCTTTGCCTATCAGTCATTTTTTGTGTAACTTTATGCAATGTACCCGAGTCAAAAGGTTCATCTGCTGTCCCTTCCCCAATTTGGATTTTCAAACCTCTTCATATTGTGTCAATCTTTTTCATCACAGAGTCTACAAGATATTATGTAAAAATGTGAAAAGCTTTGGATGTCAGGGACTTTAGACTGCAAGGGGAAAGAGTGGAGATGTCAAACATTGTAAGACTCCTCAGACCCTCGGTGTGGGTGCCCAGTGGCTGTCTGAGTCAATTCTTTCCCGATATGCGCGGGAGCTTGCAATGGAGCACTGGTTCGAATGGATGGCTTCCCGAATCACATCCAGCTGTCTTCTCATCTGCTGGCGATGAAGAGCCTGCACTCGCAGGGCCAAGGCCAAGAGCTATATGAATGTGTCAATTAACCAAGCCCGCAAAAAACAAGGAACGGCACCTGGACCGTCTCATGTTCAACCTGTTCCTTCATTCTGCGGCTTTCAGCAAGTTCATCTTTGGCTGAATTGATCAGTGATTGGATCTCATCTAAGGACGACATGGCCCCAACGAGTGCTCTTTGCAACTCGAACAGCCACAGCCTTTTCAAGAGCCAAAGCCTGAAAAGAGGCGCCTGAACCCTCACAGGAAGTCCAAAGTCAAATGGTTCAAATCACTCATGTAGAATCTTGATGTCAACAAAACAATGGATTGTAAAACCTCCTTCATATGGGGAGCACAGCAGGACTTTGTTGAGACTTCTGCTATCTTAGTCTTCCATACAGCTGACCTTTCTTCGATACAGCTGACATAGCGCGGCAAAGCGGGGAAGTCTGCCAACCTCGGTCACATGGCGTCACCGTCCGCAAAACCGTCGCCACTTAGTGTCGCCACGATCAGGTCAGTCGGGGAGTCCAAAAAAGGTCTCTGGGTTTCAGACACTTTTTCCAAACCTGGACAGAAAGACGTTGGAAAAGACGGTGGACAAAAAGACATGCTCCAAAAAGACATGGGTCTTGACTTCGAAAATACGAAAAAGTCTACGGCACGGGCCAGAGCCATGGCAAGGGATACTGAGGAGCACCGCAAGCTGCCTTGAAATTGGTGCAGAGTCTATGGTGAGATCTGCTTGTTCTTGCGATTTGGAAATCCCGTGGTTTGGCTACAGCACTTTTTGGCACATGTCTTCGGTTTCGAAGAACCGCTCACAACGAGTACTTGACATTCGCAGTTTTCTGCAGCTTCAAAGTCATGGTGGCTTCTCAGAATCTGCTGCAAGCGCACTGCAGGCGCAAAAAAAACAACACGTGAAAACGCCGTCAAGCCTGCAAGTTTTTTGCGGGACGGAAGAACAAGCACCCTGGGCCACAGAAAAAGCATCGCAAAAGGTTGTTGAAGTTCCAACCCTTTATCATGAGCGATGGAAAACTTGAGAGTTCAATATCCGCTTCTGCATCAATCTCTGAGTCACTGCGAGCAAACCGCCATTCTCGGTCAGTCCACTGTGGCGGAGCAGAGCCACGCAGTCTTGCAGCATTCACGACTTGGACTCTGCGATGATAGCGATTGTAGAAGTCAAAGTCCGGCTCATGTAGGAAGCCACCAAACTCCTCCCAGCTCATGGCCCGACCATCAAACGCTGGCAACACTTGCCGTCGTACTTCGCCGTTTCGCCATTTCTCCTCCTGGAAGGGAGCCAGGCGACGGTTCTGCGCGGCGGCGATGCGGCGAGAGAGGAAAAACAGCAAGCAGCCATGGGCGGAGACACCAATGACTGAACCAGGCATTCTGGAGAGCTCCTTCCAAACATATTCGGCTCGTTGAATCAAGGATTGCGCAGAATCTAACTGGTTCTGAGATTCGCAAACAAAGCCTCCATGACAACTCCATAATGGCCAGTCTGCTTGAACTTGCTCTTGTGATCGGATCTCATTCCATATGTCATCACATTGAATCTCAGCCATCTTGGGCAAAGCTATCAAAGGAGAGTCGTCCTTCTTCAGGGGTGTCATGCATAGCTCAGCACTTTGCAATGCCCGTCGAAGGGTCGAACTCACCACAACGTCAAAAGCAGAGTCCCCGGACGCCAGCAGCATCTTAGTTGAATCCAAAAGCGGTGAAGGAAAGGAGTTGAATGAGCTACGGCCGAAATTCGATAGACAATCTTGGACAGTTCTAACCCCCATGGAATCATCCATGTTGAGGGTTTGGGTCGTAGATGAAACGGGATGAAACGGGTATGTATTGGGATAAGGAGCCCCATCCATGGACATTCATCAATTTTTCCAACTATGGTCGTCTCGCGACCTTTACGATACAAAACAACATGGCCCAGGAACAACTTCCAGAACGAACTTCAAAGGGCCTTCGAAACAAGATTCCATATGAACCAATTATGTATTGTAAGCATTGCCCTTCCATATGAAGAGGTCTACAATTCAAATGATTGTTTTTGTTGTTTATCCAGAATCAAGAGTCTACATGATTTTCTGCAAGCGTTCTTACAAACACTAACAATCACGAAATACACCTTCGATAAGGTTCTCCTGAAACACAAGAAGCTTGACAAGCGGACTGTCCGCTTTCCAGCAAGGCTCCTCTTGTACCTTTCCTCTGGCCGCTTGCACTTGGGCCATTCCAGTCTCGGTCAGAGGTGGATCCACCAGATTTTCATCTCGACGCCGTTCGTAGCTGTTAGGTCCTGTGTCCACCAAATTATGCCTCGCTTCCCCATGCCTCATGAGATAAACGACCTTGGGCATCGAAGCCATGCGTTTTCCGCACGGCACAGGGCTCGGGGACGAAAATAAAAATTGCAAAGTGACAGCAAATGTGCTGCAAACCACCTTGTCCTTGAGCCGAAGTCAGCATCACTGGTTCCTATCGGATCTTTCTTGATGCTCAACTTATTCAACCAATTTCAACCATAGATTGCATTGACAATGTGAAGATTCAAAAACACTCGGGCCGCCACGCATATGCTCTTGCATCAGCACTACTAAGCTCAGGCCTCGGACCACCAAATTCGCAGGACAGGCTGAGACAGAAACGGCCTCTCGCGACACCCGAGACTTCCCGCTCCAGGCTGCCGTCGCCCAGTCGATCGGACAAGGCCTGACACATGCACCAACCACCCCGACCCGACCGTCTTAAGCCTTAAGCCCAGTGAAGGGTACAAACCATTTTCTGGCAAATTGGACGCACATGCGGCATGATGTGACCTCGGTTCACAGGTGAATTTCTGTGAGTTCACACGCCTTGCTACCTCTCTACCCTGCTCTGTCCTGTTGCCTCATTGGGCTTAGCACGTTTGGTCTCCCATGTCTCCATATCTCATGTCTTTATATACGTACCGGGTCAGCATGTGTCCCTCCTAAGACCTCTTTGTTCCATTTTGCTTGTGCCATCTTGTGTCTGTTCTTTTTCATCCCTATCGTCGTCAGTTTGTCTTTGGAAGTTTCCTGGCATATCCCCAAAAGCATCCACTAACGTCATGCCTGCGGCAAGTCCCAGCCACTCTTCTGTACTCATCAAAACAAAAAGAAGAATTTGTCTGCAGAAGGAGGCCGAGCAGTTTTATTTTGCTGGAATCCAACCCTGCTTGATGCACCAAACGAACACAATAAAAACCACTCCGCAAAATGTCCACCACCCTCCAAATGAATTGGAGATTTTCTTCCCAATCATGCATGGATTTTTCAAGTCGTCGCTTGAAGACGCCCCCCTTGCATGGCGCAGACGCGCCTCTAGGATGCTCCGCAGCTCACAAAGGACAGAGGCGCCGCTCCAGGGCTCGTGAAAGAACTCACAAAAGAAAGCACGTGACATGACTCGCTTTTTGGACCCTTTTCTTTCGCCCGCACAAAAGTCGAAAAAAAAACAAAAAAAAAACAGGGTACTTAGCTGACACTTATGCAAATGATGCAAATACTTCTTGTTGACGTTTGCTCAGTTTGGCTCATTTGATGCTCTTTGTCTCTGGTTTCGACTCCCACCTGCTCTTCTTGAAGCTGCTTCGCCTGCCGTCGCTGCTCCGCAAAGGCCGTCGCCCAACCGAAGCCCGGAGGAGCTGATCGAAGCAGCGTGGGACGAGTGTAGGTCTCCCAAACCTGAAGCGGTCTTTGGGTTGAAGAAAGAGAAAAGAAAACCTCCAAAAGTGGTCCTTACAGAGGAGCCAATGTCTTGCTGGGAGTCAAACTCTTCTGTCCTCATAGAGGAGGAAAGAGGTCAGGAGTTCCAGTCGGTCTGTCACAAGATTGGTGACAACAGCAACAGCAACAAGCAAAGAATGAAAGAGATTTTGGTATTATGACAGGGAGATGCCCAAAGATACCCTGGAAAAAAAATATGAAAATCAATCAAAAACATACTTACCAACTCGTACCAAAAATTACCAAAACCTCGGTGGCGTGCGGTCTGTCTATTCCACATCCACACCCAGCTGGCTTGATGATGGCCTAGAAGAGCACCAAAAGCACCAGTGGGCGCTCCGTACCCCGCCGGATCAAGAGCTGCCTTGACAGCATTCAGCGGCTTGCCATGTTTCATCAAAGGGGGGCTTCACATAGGGCCGACACCAGCGCTGACCGCAGCTCCTGAGGAAGACAAGGGAGCAAATGGGTGTGTCGTTCAAATAGGGAGACCTCCCAGTTTGACCCGCCTGGAAGAAGGGAAATAGAAAATTTGTTTTGGGTTCGGTTAGGAGATCTCAGAGATCTCCCTATTGGAACGATCCGCATGAAAGCGGTCGCGGTCGGGGCAACGTGTCTGCCGAGAAAGACCCGGTCCTCCCGACGCAGGACGCCGTCCTTGGTGAAGGCCACCGGCAAAGGCCTGGCGTCCGTGGTTTCGGTATCTTCTCAAGAGAATCACTCTGACTTCAAAAACATGCAATGTACAAGAGATTCTCAGCTTGATCTGACAAGACGAAAGATCATTCTCAAGAGAATCTTTCAGCAGTATTAGCGGCGCAGCTTCCAAAAAGGCAGCAAAAGGCCGACACCAAACTAGCGGCACAGGACCCCAAAGCAGCCATTGTCGGATAGCGAGACTCCTCCTGACAAATGAAATTGCGTGCTTTTCACATCGTGTGATGCTTCAAGTTCCCGACAAATCGCAGTGGAAGATGAGGCCGCCATTTGGAGAGAAACAGCAACTCGGCATGAACCTAAGTACACCAATTGCAGATGTTCAGATATGATCCACTGTCCAAGTCATTGGTTTACTTCCCCAAGTCTTTTTATCACCGTTCACCTTGTGCATTTGGTTTTCTCACAGCATGTCACTGTGCAGGTATCACACTTCTAGTCACCTGTCTGCACCAACCACTTACACCCAAATCAACAAGACCTGCAGTGGAAAATCGCGACTAGGAATGAAGGGCATCGCGACTCGAACGGAGCGATCTGGCCTTACTACGCACGGGGCGACCCTGGCCTTACTACGAACGTAACAAGCTTCGCTACGAACGGAACAAAGGGATGTCCGGTAGTCTGGCAGCAGGTCTTTTGCATCAAGCCGCGAGGCCGCCTCCATTCCAACCAACCAGGCCTCTAAGTGGAGGGCCGGATCAAGCAACGTTTCGCCCGGCGATCCTCTCGCACAGAAATGGACCTCAAGCAAAAAGAACTACAGGGATCCAGTGCTGGCCCACTTAGCCTGGGAAATCAGCTAGGGCACATGCTATCCTCCATACATCATGGTCTGCCAAAGGTGAAGCAAAACGGGGATTTTAATCGGATAAAGACTGAAACCAGAACCAACTCAGACTGACATTAACAGCTCTATTATATATCATCCATTCATGTGGATGTGATGTTAACTGAATCCAAAGCAATCCATGACTATTAAAAGTCTGTTTGAGATCAAAGAGCTCTACAAGTCTCTTCATGTGGCCTGCATGCGGCGCAACTGCTCCATTCATCGCGGATGCGAGGACTGGGACGCCGGTGACGTGGATCGCATTCGTGACTGGACTGGTTTAATCACGGAGGACTGGGAAAACACGCGTTGCTCGTCTGAAAACTGTGGCAATTTCACCCCCCCCATGGCGGACCCCCCAATCGTCTTCTTCTTCTTCTTCAGCTCTCTTGACCGGATGTTCTCGGTTAATCTGCAAGATGTAGCAAGAGATGCCTTCTGCACTAAACATATGTTGAAGCACTGAAAAGCCAAAAAGCTGGGATGCAGAAGTGACTGTGCTCTATCTATATATATATATATATATTTTGTTTGGCCAAAGCTGGACAACAATTCCAAGAGCATGACCCATTCCAAAATAGGCCTTTTTCATCCGTGCGATCCCACGACCCCACCAGCAGCCATTGCGCAACCCCAGAGCTCCGACGGATTGGCCTTCGCACAACAACGCACAAAACGAGTCAACGTGTCAACGTGCGGACTAAACGGTGCTCGGCAGAGCTCTCATGTGCAACTGAGACAAGTGACCCCTGTGGTACGATGCTGAAGCTCTCTTCTTGTACTTCAGCATGAAGTGCCTCAACTTTCGCACAAAAGTCAAGACACTGCAAAGCAGATATGGTTCATCGTTCGCCTCAGGTTGAGGTCAAGACATTCAGTGTTGACTGAAGCAGGGCATCCTGCGTGGCAGTGCCTTCTAAAACAAGCCTTTTTCTCTACGCGGCACAAAGCGGCCTCTCCAAGTTCACTGAAGAGGACATTCCATACCACAACCTACCGGAAACAGCTCCAGAGCGACGAGAAAGTGAGAAACAAAGTACATCTACACTCCGTAGAACAACCGTGGAAGTGGACAGCCCGGCCCATTAGATGGCCATCATTTTTCCTCTACAAACAGGTGGTTTTCCACTTCCATGATTATTTCAAGATGTGTAAGTATTGCCAAGCACGGCACCCCGTTTGGTCGCACAGCTGCAGCAGCAGAGGTGACGAAGCTGCTCTGCCTGTCGTCTAGGCTAGGTTTCTGACTGTATCAAATGCTGTCAAATGCCAAATTCAAAATGTTGCAAAAAGGTGGAATGAGTGGGTCATGAGTGGAATGAAAATGGAAATCCACGAGCAATTCCAAAGTTGTCCTCCATCAACAAGGGTTTTGTTTGGAGTCCCTTCATACTTGATTGATTCGATCCACGAGGGGCTTTTGTGTCTCTAAAACTAAGGACATGGCAAAAACTCTTTGCTGGGCGCCAAGACTTCTCCACCTCAGAGTGCCCACACTCAGACTTTGAAGATGCACCGTGGATGGCTGACGAAGAGGACTCTTGGGATGTGGCTGGAGAAGCGATGAAATTCCCCGGCGATGTCCACGAAGATTGCAAGGATATCCTAGGCAACAATGCAACTTTGAATAAACATCCTATTCATAATACAACTAAGTAAGAACGTTCAATCAACATAACGTACGTATGTTTTTGCATTTCATACAGTATATACAGCAACAAGTTCCACCAAGCACGCAGGCGGCAAACCACCGCAAACATGATGTATATAAAATATATAAAAATATATAGTAGTACATGCACAGAAAAGAACTCACTATATTGAACCTGAACTGCCAAATCCCTTGGGCACCCTTGCCAGTGGCTGCGGAGCATCAAAAAAGTTCAGAGCATCCTGAGATGGAGAAAGTGCGCTGGGTCAAGCAATCAAGCAACTATATATATATATATAAATGCGGCTCATTGCTTATGTTCGCTTTCAAAGTCCTCGATGCGCAACTCGATTTCTACTTGAGCTCCACCTTCTCGGAAACCTTGCAAGAATCTCATCTCCAACACGCCAAGAGCAAACTTGCTTTGGTTTCAGGCCGAAGAATTTCTTGCCGAGCTCGGCCACCTCGAGAACTTCATGTCGTGCTGCGAGTTGCCTACTGAGCCTACTGTAACTTGGCACTTGAAAGGCCAGTGGATATGTGTCAGTCAATCCGAAGATAGAGGGATGTTCTGCATATGTAAGAATCGATTCTCGAAAGGAAGGCGCTGAACCTCAACCAAGGGGAAGCATATTGTCTTCTCTATTCAAAGGTTAACAGCATTTTACCCTGAAAAGTAAAATCAGCTGAAGCGAGTTTCACTGCGGGCACAGCCGCATATGCATTCTCTGCCCTTGAAAGTCGAAGGAATCCAAGCCATTTGGGGGTCCATTTGGACAGGTAATCGGCTCTGCTCATGTTCTCTCCATGAAACGGGATATGTTTGAAAAAGGTGTCAACTTTTTCACCCGAGCACCATGGTTTTCATGCTTCTTCACAATACATGTTATGGGACTTCTTAATGAGTGCATCTTCTTGATGTGCAGGTTGACGTTGGGTCACCGGCCGCAGGATCTTTCTCGACAGAGATGATTCGACCTAGCTCATTGCTTTGTAAGTTGTTGCTCCATGCATCAACCTGCCTTTGCTATTGTGGATATGCCAACCGTAAAAAGCTAAAACAATTGCCAGCCGGTTGCTTTTTCACAAAATTATCCATGGTCTACTGAGTGCTTTCCGCAACCTAAACTTCCCAGCCTGTGAGGGCTGTCAAACCCCTGCACTTCTTTCTAGCAAGAACCATTCTACTCCATTGAAAAATCATCCTGGATTAGAAGCTCACAAAAGAAGAAAGAAGTGCATTACCTTCCAAGGAAACACCAGCTCAGAAGGACTATGTATAGGAACTGTAGGTTTACATGCAGGGCTGGCGAAAGGACTCTTTCATCGAATTCAGCCTTTCACCAGTACGAGCTATTCGCAGTCATCGGCGCTCAGTACGGCTTTGACCGGCATGGGTACAGTGATGAAGCATCCAACTTTACAAAGGCACCGTGTCGCCTACAGGGGGTTGGCATTGAAGTGTCATGAATGACTACGTCAAAACAAATCAGAAATTTTCACTGATTGATGGACGTCGCGTATGTTCTGTTTCCACGGCCTCAGCGGTGATGGCACATTGCAAAGCTGGCTTGCGACATGCAGCCTTTTCTTCACTGGGGCACCTCCACAATCAGCATGCTGCTTTTGGCTCTGCACGTCACGTCTTTGGACTTCTGACCACATAGGAAAAACCTTCTTGATTTCTGCCCGGATCCGGTTAGCTCCTGCTGCATCCATCTGACTGAGGATTCCGCTGACACATCCTGCAGACATCTCAGACAAAATAGCAACAGCGGCATCACAAGGCGTATCATTCAGAATTTCCCCCGCACAAATCTGATCCATTTCCTCCAACAGTTTGGCGGTCATCTCGGCGGACAGCTCGTTCAAAATGATTGCACTTTCATGGCATCGCATTGATTTCAAAACCTCCGTGGCAGCTTTCGCAGAGATCTGTGCCAAAAGTTTTAGAACTTGTCCAGAGACCTCTGCCTTCATGTGAGCCAAGCACCTAGCAGCCTTCTGCAATTCCAAGTCCATCAGAATGGAAGCGGCACTTGATGGATCCATTTCAGCGAGCAAATCCGCAGCTGCTTCATCTTCCAATTGAAGGAGTTGATGGGCCCAATCCATTCGGCTCAACGAAGCATCGTTGCCCTCGCCAGATGTTTCGGTGTCCATGGAGTCATGAGCGTCAGGACTCCTCGGGCTTCCAGGTTCTGCGACATCTGAAGAGATGGAATGGTTGTCCCGATCCCAGGCTCCCCAAGTAGAGTTCATGGTGAACAATCTCAACGCTTTGAGCCCCTTCACGCCTGGTGAAAATGACGTGAAAATGACGTTTGTTTGGTGGCACGGCGCTGATCAGAATCGGGCGAATGCACTTCAAAGCGCCAAAAGAGTGATGCCTGCGATGCGAGTGATGCCGGTGTTGCTGCAGCAAAAATATCATAAAAACTCGTAGTCTGGCATCTGGACAAAGCCAAGGTTCGTATTTGTTATATTGCTGTGCACCGAATGTGTGTTGGCCAGAAGGCTAACGTGATTCGAAGGCGCCTCAGAGCCAAGTCTTGAATTGCCATGGGAAGGACACCACCTCCTCCACCAAGAACCACCACCTCGGGGGCAGCCGAATGACCAAAGACGAACGGTTCCACGCAGTTTTAAACCGCGGACTTTCAAACGAAGGTCTGGAGTGGCAACGCATCCAGGACCCCCTGAGGTCGCTTCTGTGGCATCGACCTGCGGATGTAGACGGAGTCCGGAGGGGGGCGCTTTCCAATGACGCAAAGGGTGCGTTCGGCATGGTGGATTGGCAGAGGATTTTTGGAACGTGTCATGACGTTTCTACTATTTTGTGGATGATAAATTCCACACATCTGCAATGGAAAGCTTACCTTTTGACTTAACGACTTAACTCTGTGTTCATGGTATTCGGTGTTCCCATCAGTACCTGATTCAAGCTTAAAGAATTTTATAGACATCTCATGACACCTTGTAGTTTCACTCAGTGCCACACGGAGTTGCAATGCGCGGCTTTGTCCTGGAGGACACGTGCACCACTGAGCGCATGCTTTAAAGATCTTTAAGCTTCATATACCGTCTGCAGTTAGGATGCACTTCCACGTGTCCTCCAGAAGACGAAGGAAGGCTGCATGCACTTCGAAGGCCAAGTGGCGAAAGTCAAAGCCCTCTGGACGGGACCGAACCTGCGGTCGACGCCGGTCGGTTCGCCGAACGACGCCGGTTCGCCGTCACGTTCGGACCCCTTCGTCAGTCGTCGGTCGGTCGGTGTCGTCAGACCCCTTCGCGCTTCGGGATTCTGTCCCACCTCGGTCTGGACCACCCCAATGGAAGACTCAAAATGAAGCGAGCGGATGATGTCAGACCTCACTTTCGAGGAACTCGAGGGAGCTGAAGAGCGTTCATCCACATCGTCCAGCGTAGTTGGATCAAGAAGCAGAGGAGAATTAAACATGTTCAGAAACCCTGGGCTTGCAAAGTCTCAGAACAGCATGGGCTTGCCAAACACATGTTCAATCCTGGAGAGTCTAAGAGTTCAAAGTTCAGACTGGACGAAAAAGTATTGAGGATATTGGAAGAAGCTGATTTTCGGAGTCAAAGAGTGAGGAACACATTGAAACACTGCCAAACCCTGCAGTCTGAAACATCTGCTTGAACTGCTTCCGAGCTTCTCTCCACCTGTGCAGGCGAAGGCTCAGCTCTGACCCCGGACTCTACTCCGTTGAATCGAACCGAACAAAGTGAGACCTGCTGTGCCGCTGTGCCTTGCGTTTCCAAGACCACCAGGCCACCTTCGTGCCAAAGCACTTGGCGAGGAGCAGGCCTGAGCTGACCATCAACAGGCCTCTCTAGCTTGACCTGCCTGAGGTACTTGGTACGAAGTGTTGCAAAGTGTTGCGAATTCGGTGGACTCCTAAAATAATCTAAAATAGGCTCGGCAGTGCTGTCGCTACACGCTTCAAGTTAGGTGGGGGGCATTGGCTCCAATTCCAATTCAGACATGTTGGCCTTCAGTCGAAACGAATTATTAGTGATGAACTCTGCAAATTGCTTGGACTCTGCGGGATCTTCCAGGACTGTTCCTGCCTCGCGCAATTCGGCAATGTAGTCCATCGCCTTCGTCGTTCACACGAAAAAAACAAAAAACAAAAAACTCTGAAATCAAATTGCCTCGGAATGACTCCAATTCTCATCGCTGAGATGACCTGCCAGGCGAAGCTCCTCAGGGCACATACTTGTGTCCACAGGGTAGGCTTAAATAGAGGATTCGGACTGAGAGTCTTGGTCCACACTGTTTGGCTATGAGTGTGCACCCAGTGGCAACTGACCCCTTCAGTTCTCACATGCTGTCCTCTACCAATAGCTCATCCTCAACTGATCTTGCTGGCCTCAACTCGTACCAAACCGATGAGCCTCGCCCTCAAACCAATCCATCCACCTGAGGAAACGGCACGGAAGTGAGGCTCTCCTCTGTCGTTTCCAGCTGATCCACCGGAGGCTTCTCCTCACAACACTGGTACTGCGAAGTACTACTGCTGGATGTGTTGCTTCAAACTAATATAGACCCCCAAATAGATAGCACTTCGTGTCGATCCCCACGCCGATCCCCACGTTGAACATGTCTTGGAGCTGCCATCCTGTCACTGTCGTCCTACGTCTCTCTCTCTCTCTCTCTTCGCTGTCCTTCGAGGCACTGGACCAGGTGCTTTGGATGCCTTCACAAAGGACAGCTTCTCTGGCCTCGGAGCGAGCAGTCAGCACATGGAGTCCGGGCGGGCGCCCAAAACGCCCGCCAGGGCAGTGAAACCAGGTGAAACCAAGTTGCAAACCCATTCGTACGGCGATGCCAGATTTTCAGGCCAGAAGGGATACGTTCCTAGAGTTTTCAAGCCAGGGGATTAGTTCCTCACTGCTTTCATTTCTTTCGGCATGTTTCTCCCCGAGGCCGCCGCGGCACGCTGCAGGTCGAGCATTGTGCACAGAGCATTTGCCCGAATCACTCAGCAAGAGACACCTGTCGTCCGGTCGACTCGGCACCTGGAACTCAAGCGCGAGCGGTCGCGCCTCCCAGAACTGGAGTCTACCTGGCCCGACATCCACACCGTGAAGATCAAGAGTTTGATGGCAACTCTACATCCATGTTTAGTGAAGGTCATATTTTGTGCAAGCAAAATGATGAATACAAATGATAGCTTGCAAAATGAAAGCAAGGTTCTCAAGTACAACCTTTCAAAGGTTGCCTTCAACTCCACAGCACTTGATTTGTCCATCTTCGTTGTGTACCTCTCGGTTAGATGTGAAGACTTGGTGGTTTGTCAATGACGAGCTTTCCGCATGAACATCATCAGAATCTGACTTGGGAAGCACACCAGCCACACAGAGTGGATTTGACTGTTGTAAGGAGGTCGAAACAAAACAAGCGAAGCCAGCCCATGTGACGGCACTATTGCATGGAAAGCAGAACCAAACTAGCACAATGACAGCACTCTGATTGTTCGTAGCTGTACCAGCTATGTTCCCGGTGTGGCTCACTTCGAAAGGAAGCCAGAAGTCGATAGACCTTAGCAAAGACAAGGCCAGGGGCCAATCCCATGTCACACTGCTTCTGAATCTGCTGCAGTAAGTCTCAAGCTGAGAGCTTGTGCCATGCCTTCAATCTCCTGGCGGAAACTATGACAATCCATGACAAAGGTTTGATTCCCTGGCCAAAGCATCTCAATCGCATCTAACCAGGGCCGAGCGAACTGATTTGGCCTCGCAGCGACGATGAGTCAATGGGAAGAAGGGGAGAGGATGGGCTGCACCAGGGGCTCGTTGAGAAGGATTCGTTGTCTCGGCGCAAGAGGACACCGTCGGACAAACCGCGTATGGCGAAACCGAGACAACCACCATGACCTTGGCCACAACAGGGCCACAATCACAGTCCGCTCTTCTCATGACTCATCTAGACCACATGATGGGGAGAGTGGGGATAAGGAATTGACCAATGGTGTCAAAGGTGCATGAAGGGTGAACATACCACAGCTATAGAACAATCTACAATGGAATTGAGAAGTTTGAAACAAGTGGATCTTGCAAGTCAGCTCTTACACCCAACCTTCCAACAAAGGTGGCACCTTTGCTCAGTATGGCCATGTGTCACCTCTCCGGACACCACACAAATGTAGCCAAGAGCGACAGAATGCTGGGTTGTTCGTTCACGAAAACAACACACATGTTCGAGTCAAAGTGGCAGGGTGTTTCGAGAAGTTGAATTTTTGTTGGAAAGAACAGCATCAGAGATAAGAATGGTGGATGGCTACAGCCAGGTGCCGAAAGCTATCTGTCAGACATTGCGCGTCTGCGCGGCGCCCGCGGGCATCGCAAGTTGGGGTCAGGCTGACCCAAAATGAAGCCAATTGCACTAATGTAGACTCTGGATGAATAAATCTAACCATTTAGATGGTGTACATATATAACCTCTTCCTGTGAGAGTTTTTATTCGAGAGTCTACATTAGGTTGAGCCCTCGCTGTTTGAATCTCCATCTCCACACCCAGAGAAATCCCTCCCCCGCCCTCCGCGCGCCAGTGGGGCGGAGGCCGCCGGCACACGGCGGACGCAGCATCGCCCACAGCTCGTGCAGCCTTGGCGGGACTAGATCCCCGGTCGCAAGGTTTTTGGAAGACAAGTGCAATCTGGAGATTGCCCATTTTTGAAAGGTGTTTCCCCCATGTGTTCGCTTTGTTGCGCATGAAAGACTCCCGGACATCCTGCCATGAAAGCTGTCGGACATCCTGGCTTTTTGCACAGGCCCAAAGTGCTCGAACGAAGACCGAGCGAACTTCTCGCTGCTGAGGTCGGTGCCGAAGCGTATTCCTTCGGCCCACCACATGACTCCATGTCATCAATCAGTCAATTGTAGAATGACTCAAATCTGATTGATACGGCATGACCAAGTAAAGAGATGTAAAGTGTAAAAATCTCAAGTTCTGAGCAATGTCGGTTTCTACAGTTTTCTAGCTGCAGATTCGGAATCCTGCTCTCAACAATGAAAGCCTGTCAAGAAAGCCGTTTGTAACTGCCAAGGTTCCCTCATTTCGCTCATTCTTGTCTGCTCAACTTCGTGGTCATGCTCAAATGACTAGTCACACTTTTCACAAAGCTGGCTTGCACGCACCAAGCTGATTCTGTGATGCAACTTATACAATCGCACGTGCTTCCTTGGTGTTCTTTCAAGCCAGGCACTAGCAGCAGGTCATCAGGTCATCAATGCAGCCAAAAAGAACTGAGGGGGTGCACTGGCTCTACACGTAGTTACCCAGCAGTGCGATTGCGATTTGTCTATGTACATATGGCCCAGGAATCCATAAAACGGCTGAAGTCACATCAAGCGTGGCGGAACCTTTGAATCGAGCGGGGTCTGTGGTGCGTTGTCAGACCAGGCTTTGCCAGCAACCCGCCAACTGATTCAAGGCTGATGGAATCAGCCACCAGGTTCAGCAGGAATCAATCGAGTTTTGGAAAGATTTGATGACTTGGTGTTGGTTTCTTGGATTACTTTAACTACAAAATCATCAAACAAACCTCTCTGAGACTCATTCGCAATTCGCGAAGCGCCAGCTGAGATTGACTCCATGTCTCATTCTTGGGAAGACTCGCAATAGATTTTTAGGCCAGGTAAAAATTGGAGGCTGAGAAATGGCCTTTTCGAAGCTACACGATTAGCTTCCGGACAGTTCACTGCCAGCCAAACACAGCAGCCGATTCCGGAATGGAGGCGAATCTGGAAGTTCCACGGATGTGAACAGTGACAAAAAGGATGCTTGTTGTGTTCTCTGTAGTGGCTTTTTGAGCCTAGCACCTCCGAAGAAAGGATTTAAGCCCGGCCCTGGACGATTTTTGCAGCTCCACCTTTTCCAGTTGCTTGCAGCTGATGTACTGCACTTGGTTTTGGAAAGGATATGAAGCCCATCAAGCTCGGAGACTGCAAAGGTCACGGGGGCTCCTACAGCTTGACCGCCCACCAGCGGCGTACGTGGCGTACGGGCCTTATGACTTCGTTGGGCCATCGTCGCAAAGGATGCTTTTCTCAGCATACATACACATCTGGAGAAGAATGGACACCTGGGGAAATCCTTTACTTTATTGAATGGAAAACTTGCAACTCCGCTGCCTGTGCCTTAGAGGGCTTCCTAGTAAGAGATGTCTCGAAGTCAAAGTCAAAGGCCAATTTCCAAGGAAGGGCCTGATAAAACAGCAGCCCTCAGCAAGCAAGCTGCTTTTAAGAACTGGTGAGAAAAGGACCTGGAACCTGAGAATCTCTTCACACGCAACTTTCTAGTTGTGAATTGCGACTGTTAAAAGCAGCTTGGCCCCTTTTTTTTACAGCTTGAACCTGCGGCATCAACCAGCCCGTTCAAAAGTCCACCGTTACCATCAACACATTGACATAAGAAGACTTGTCATGTCTATATTGACCCCAAGACACACTTAAAGCAATTCTTCGCATGGGCCAGAGCAACGCTCATGAAAGTCTTCTTCAGACGTTCGATGAGTGTTGACCTGCATCAAAAGCAAGCTAGGCTCCATCAGTTGCAGAGACGCTCATCATGGAGAGGGCTTCGTGTCTGGGGCCACCACCGGCCCAAAGCACGGGGCTTTTGGCTGTTGAGACCATCTTATTGGCTCAAGGATGAGGCCTCGGAGATGGTGAAATTGGCTGGTCACAAAAATGGCCTCTGCTGGGTTGGAACCTGCCCAATTTCGGCAGCTCAAGAAGGCTCTTGCCTGATCCAAGAAAATGAGTACCATTAAACTGCAAAAGAAACACGTGTCAGGCGGACTGCAAACTGCGCGGCGGCGCAGTGTATGGGCCTCGATCGTTCAAATGCGGGACGTATGTGGGCAACATATGGCAACGTGCCGATCACATGCTCAGTGGGCGACAGCCATATTCTATTCACAGGGAAAATTGGTGAGATTCACCAAGACCTCCGTGTGCAGTGAGCTGAAATACCATCCGTGTGCTTTGTGGGAAGTGGGTGTGTATCAGAATAGAGAGACCTCCCAGTTTGACCCGCTGAAAAAGAAAAATAGACCAAAACCCAAAGGGCCAGGGCATCTCCCCATTAAATTACACACCCAAGTGCACTGGTCAGCAAACAAGCCAACGATTCATGCAAGTGCAAACAATGTCAAGCCTTGCATTCAAAGTCCACTTGAGGATTGCGATGCAACCTCAATGTATATTAATAAAAGTTATTTCCGATAAAGCAACACCAATATGAGGGGACATTCTTAAGTAAATCTTGGATCGCAATCAGTTGCGCACGAATGCTGAAAATGAGGGTTGCTGCATAGCAACCTTCTCGGCCAGTGCGTCCTCCGAGTTGGCTCCGCTTCATGTCATGGAAACAACTGCACCGCAACGGCACTCACGTGAGCTGAAATCCCTTCAAAGTGGTCGCCGACGTCGCCCAGGCGCCAGGATGTCCTCGTCTTCTCCTGACGTGGATTCCTCGTAGACCACAGGATCCTGTCAGAGTACACAATGTCAGCTGGTTGAAATAAGAAATGAACATGAAAGAAACGGTCAAAGGTTTCAGAAAGCTCCCCCGTCTCCTCTCCACCAGAGGCGGTCTCTGAAGAACCGGTGATGGGTTCCTGGCCGATCGCCGTTTTCCGGCCCAATAGGCCCTGCAAAGGTCGCCATCGACCAACCCAGTGGGAAGGATGTGAAGAAGGCTGAACACTGGCATGTCTCGAGTTCTGAATGCAGAATCAGCACCGAAATGGTGGTGAAAGTGCGGCTTCTCGCATAAGATGTGCCTTTTGAAAGCCTCTATGAGCACAGGCAATTATGACAACTTCTTTTTCCATCAAGCTCTTCGATCTCGCCTCCGGAATAGCCAATGGTCTTGTCGCAACAGGTCGAGTTTTGGCCTTGCAACAACACCCCTTCGAGTTTCGGCTTGCAAAAGAAACAACTACAGTAATTAGTCACAATCATTCCACAATGCTTTGATGTCCACTCGAGAGGGAAATCACCCCATAACCTACAGGACTTCAATCCTTTTTTGCGCCGCGATGTCGGCACACGTCGACGGTCGACGGCAGGGCCTGCCTTCTGCGACTTTGGCCCCACTTTGCGAGCCTGGCGGCGCACCGGCAGGGAGAACGCACGCGTGGGCGTGGCCGTCCGGTTCACTGTTCTCGCTTCTTCACAACGGGGGCAAAGGAATTTGGTCCAAAATGGGCGTCATACCTTGTCGTATTCGGCCAAGAAAACGCTTGGATGAAATTCAGCTGCCTGACACGGCCGAAAGCACAAACAGACTATACATATGTATGTGTATACATATATATATATATTTATTTTTTTAAGTCTCACTCAGCCTAGCTCAGGTTGGCTAGGAAACAGGTGGCATATGATGAACAAAAACATACTAAAACACTGAACTCTGCTGAGCATGCTGCAGTCTTGCTGTGAGATTCTTATCAGCTTTGGACGACAACATCAAGTGCACGGCGATTGCTTCCAATCTCTCTCCAATAGCGCGACGATGAACGCCTTGGGGTTGAGCGCTGCAGTCGTCAAAGACACCTGACCAAATGCAAACACCTGCGTCGACCGGAGAGTGACGCGGACTCGCCTCATCTTTCGAAAGATCTTCCACCTCCCATCGAAAGGAGGATTGTGACGAAATCGATGGTGACGAAGGTGAAATCGAAGTCATTCGAAATTGCCCACGAAATCAACCTGCAAGAATCTAGCGCAGCCCTGTGCCTCCTCACTCAGCCCCGGCGGAGGGCCGATGGTGTTGAGGTCCATGTCCTGAAGGAATGGAAAGCGTCCAATTCATTGCTTTCTATATCACACATGTCTTGCTTATTGCTGCAACAGTTTTCTACCTTCCTACCAGGGTTGTTTGTCTTTCAACTGAAAAAGACTTGAACGACGAGCATCAGCAACGCAAGCGATGCCACTTTGACAGAGAGATTTTTTTGCATCAACGTAGTACCTTTCAGAAGTTATATAACCGATGAGATTGCACTTAAACTATGTTCCTCCGGTTTTGTGGCATTCTGTTGTCCTTTGTTTGTAATCTGTAGTGTTTCTTTCGTTGAGGCGGGACATTTGGTTTTCTCGTTCCTTCTTGAGATTGGTGGTGGTTCTGAAGGGTGTGGATGCTTGCTGATTGGTGATTGGTGGTCCGTTGTGGTGTTTCAGGCTCTCCTTTGATTTGCGATGTTGATTCTTGACTTGTTGTCGGCCTCTTCAACGCTTCAACCTGCCAAGCAGTTTGAGTCATTCCGCACTTGCACGTTGTTGGTGGACTCTCACTGTTTGAAGTGATGCGGAAAGGGTCAACAGCTCAAGGTCCGGGTTTCCTGCGGGTAGAAAGCACTTTTTGCACTAGAGGCCCCAAAGAACTTGGACTGCAAACACTTCCAGCCAATGGATGAATGCGTTCCAGCCTCTGCGCAATTGTCATCGAGTCCTACATCAGTCTGTTCTCGAACTCTTCCCACGGCGCGTGTTTTTTTTCAGGACTGTCGGAATCATCTCGGACCTTGGACGGTATCTCCAAGCATCTCGCCCGGCAGGACGAAGTCACCATCTTGACCTGCCAGACGGGAACCCCATGGGGTTGAAGTCACCTCTTGCCGTTGGCGGTCCGGAGCCTGGGAGCCCATAGTCCATTCCGTCTTGGCCTTCGTCACCCGTTGGCAAAGAGAAGCTATTCAGAAAGCACTTGCAAAACCCAAAGCACTGCGTGCATGAATGACATGACTGAAACATAAAGGTAGCCTTCTCCAAAGTACATCATTGCAGCCTGCACAAAGTTCCAGAAAGCAGCACTAACAAGACTGCACGGTGCCCCAGAATAAAGAGCACAGGGAGCAGCCTCTTCGACGGTCAAATACCTCGCACAATTTATGCAACAGGCTGACACTACTACTCATGAAACATTCATAGCCGCATGACACACTGCCGGTTCTCCCTTCCTTTCTGTATTGCAAGAGGTTTCCCTGTTCACCACAAGTTCAACCTGTTATGGACAGTGCCTTGGTTAGACGCAAAAACTGTGTCCGCCACAAAACCGTCCTCTTCAACTTCGAGCTGGGGTCGATGCTCGCTTTGATCAAAGTCAAAGTTGTAGTCACAATCCTCTCCGTACGCCCAGGGGTTGAACTCTGTAGCCTCCCAGATGCCAAGCGTGTGTGTGAACGATTTGGCTTACAGCCACACGTTTGCCATGGTTCATGAGCTTGCTGAAATCAAAATTTCTTGGCAAGTGGCACACAAAGGATTCATAAAATTACTGCATAGTCATAGTGCCAAAAATATAAAATGACGTCCAATGTCTTCAAAGATTCAAAGACTGCAGATATCTATATAATGTACAGAATATACACCCATACAAACTGACATCGAATTGCGTTGAACACAATGCAGTGTCGTCAGGACGATCCTTGCGTCAGTTTCCAGAAACTTGACGCGGGAACAACAGATCTTCCAAACACCGAACCGCGAAGCACTGCGAAAGTCATGTTGGTTGACAATCTGATAGGTTTCTTGCTGCCTGAGGATTGAATGAGAACTCGTTTGGCTCCGTAGATTCCTTTGTCGACCTTGCCAAGAAAACAAGAACATTGTGGAAGCACTGAAAGACTATGCAGTCTATACCCCCTCAGAACTCTTTGCTCAATGTTTGGCAAACTTCATGAAGACCAAATTGAACTGAGCCAAGAGTCTTGACCGGGTATGGTGCTTACAAGACGAAGACAGAACAATTTCTGGAGAACGGCGAGTTCGTATTCTGAGAGGTGTTCCCGGCCCACATCACATATTCTTCTCCTGGCAGGCCTTTGACCTGTGCAAAACCGACTCAAGTGGACCGATGACTGGGGATGGTACGAAATATTGTTTCTAATAGCAAACATTGTTACTACTAGTAAGGCACTTGTTACTAGAAGCGATGCACTTGTTCCTAGTAGCAAACATTGTTCCTACTAGGAACAAAGAGAATGCCCCATGTCATGATCTGTTCCAAGACGCCTCCAAGAGACCTGTACGATGTCGAAGCCAGGTAGCAAAAGCTTCAGCATCCTACCGTCGTCCGCCGGTCTTGCCAAACAGATTCCACATCTGAGCACTCCACCTTCAAAAGGATCTTCAATTCAAGAGGCACCTGTCCAGTTCTCAGGTCATTCAGGTCGAAATGTCTCGTTCACTTCACAACTGGGGGATCCTCCCAACGTCGGGCCTCTTCAAACAGCGTGGCCAGGAGCACGCTCCGGCCAGGCCTTTCGTTCGACCCTCGACCCGTCCGTTCGACCCCGGACCGACACGACGCTCGGCGGTCGATGCACGAGCTCGGTCCGCTGAGACCCCCGGGCGCTCGGCGGACTCGATTGAGCAACTGCGAGGGGTCGCTGCCTTTGCCTCGGGAGATGAGACGGTCACCGGCAGCGATGGCGTTTTGGTCACCGAGGCCTGGACCCCAAGCCGTTCTGGAAGGCTCATCAGCAAGTGCCACACTTGCAAGAGCAGTTGCTTCTGCAATGTCCTATGGAGGTCGGAAGAAGTGAGCCTTGGGAATGTGAACACTTGAGAATCATCAGTTTCACATCTCCACTATCTCCTTTTGCAGCTTCGAAAAGAGAAAGTCCTGCAGGTGTTCACACAATCTTGGCAAACAGCAAGAAGAACAAAGTTGCACGTTGCACCCAGGAATAGTATGTTCTTCAAAAATCACTCAAATTGCACGCGCGTTGCTGGTCCGGAACCCCAAAATGGCTGCACTCTCGCTCCGGCCTTCATGGCCTTTTGCTCCGCGGGCGTCGGTTTCGGGACAGAGGGTGCCGTCGGCGGCCTGGGAGCTTCATGTCTGGCACAGGTCGGAATCGGTCGTCGGCGAAAGCGTCGTCTTGACTCAACGAAAGAACGGAACGAAAGTCAGAGCGCTTTGGGGAAGTAGGTCAGCCCAAAAGCAGAGGCAAGTGTCCGGGATGCACATACAGAAACATAGAGAAACATAGAGAAACAAACGAATCACACGAAAGTCGGCACTGCAGTACGCCATGCATCATGACAGGTCACTGAGATGTCCTCCGCACCCGACAAAAAGACTCAATGGCAGCCGTTGGAAATTGTCTCTTACAGTAGCTGCAGATTCACCAGACATCCTTTAAAAACCAAGTCTGGAGTTTCGTCGATTGACAGGTTAAACAGTTGATGAAGCTTCTGAAAGAGATCATATACTTTGATAGAATGGACATTGAAGTCTGTGAATCAGTGTGAATGAAGAATAGATTGAATAGATCGTGCCTCAAATGCGAATATGCCTGAATGCAATCTTGACAAGTTGCCGTTGTGCTGGGGGGACACAAGACTCACATCTGATAAGAACCGGGTAGCACTAGTTGTTCACATGAGTTTCGTAGCTGCACTTTGTAGCAGGAGCATCACGCAATTACAATCGAGGTCGCACTCCAAAAGCGCTATTGACAAGAAGCTGGCTAGCCGGCGTGCGAAGCCAAGGTCAAGAAGCAGCTCACTCAACGCAGAGAGCTCCGCAAACAAACGCTCGACGCAAAGAAGCGGGAGGACGCTCACACTTTGCACTCACCAGACGCTGCCTCACGGTGCAACCACCACACAGATGGTTGTCCAGCTACTTAAGCCGTAAGTCCCTCACCAGTGACCCTATGGCAGCTCAAAGTAGCTTGTGACCTATTTTTTCAGCAACTTAGCTGCCCAAACACACAGTGGCCTATGGCCTCGCGACGACCCAGCTGACTGCGTACTGACGACACTTTTCGAACCCAGCTCACTCAACAGTTTGCCCACTCAGCTGACCTCAGCTGCGCAGCTGCAGCTGCGGTGGTTGCCTCTTTTTCTGGATTGTTTTGCTCTACCGCCGCACAGCTTGCATTGTACAATCCAGTATGCTACAGTACCTGTACATTGCGCCTCCTGCATTAGACATGTACATTGAATGGGGGTCCTGACGTGTCGTGACATCATCCTACGTCGACATACCTCACCTTGCACTGCAATAGCGCTGATCACCATACCTTCCGTTGCCTTGCATGTACACTTCAGGAGCAAAAAAGTCCTTCTTACTCGCTCCGCTCACATGAACTCCGGTCACGTAGGCGTGGTACTGTGGATGCCGTTTGATGTACCAGGTGTGGTATGGTCAAACGTCTAAGAGTCTAAAGTTTACAATAGTTGCCAAAGCACTTTGAGTTGGAAACCCCACCAGACTGACAAGCACTCAAGAAGAACGAGGCCAAATCTGTGGAGCCTCTGTAAATTCCCTCGTATTTCTACCAATTCAATTCTGAGGCATTTCAATTCAGGCCCCCAAAAATAAAACAAATACACAAAAAACAATATTGTAGAGAAGCATTGCAGCATTGTGTCCATCTGTCTGCACGGGCACTTGGCATCGGAATCATTGAAAAAATATACGAGGGTTGCTGACAAACGGATGAATCGCCTTGCTGTGAAACACATATGCATGCAGTGGTGCTCCTTCTTAGGCTTTGACACCACCTTGGGTGGGGACACTTTGGGAGCCTTGACTGAAGGCCACTCTGCAGGTCCTTGCACAAAGCTCCAGTGATGCTCATCAAAACCCCACCCCTCCGCCTTGTTTGCAAGAGCACGGGAGTCCTTCGGGTGTGCCAAACTTGGGGCTGTGGTCACCCTGTAAACTGCCTGAACACCACAAGATCAATCACGGCAAGCCACTACATGCGCACAACGGCATAGATCTTGATGCGCAGCAATACCAACTTGGCCAGAACAAGACCCACACATGGGCTTGCATCTGGTGTCATGTAGACAGAGCGCAGGCAAACCTGCAGTCCAACAACCAGACAATCCTCATGCACTGCCGACACCGCTGCTCGATGCAACATGAAACTGGAGTTCGACAAAAACTTACGAAAAGTCATATAAACCGCTGGGCACACCTGATCTTCCTCCGAAGGAACAAATGATCGCACCTTAGAGCTTCAGGATGATGCTGAAAAAAGTTTGATTTCAATAACATACATGCATGCAGATACATACATGCATACATTACAATACAATACAATACCATACCATACCGTACCATTGCATTGCATTACATTACATTACATTGCATTACATACCATACCATACCATACCATACCATACCATACATGCTGTATGTGTATATAAAAATACACAAATACATACTTAAGGGTTGGCGACGAAGCTCAAAAGTTTATGATCGCTGCTACCTTGCACCACCTGCAGAAGCTTTGGCTTCTTGCTACCTATATCAATATCATACCACATGTCAACAGGCCACAAGCAGGTCGGACGGTTTCCTTCTGCACCGAAGACGACTACTGCGGCCCCCATGTCGCTTTCGCAGTAGAAGACGGTCGGAGGGGAAGCTCGTGGCTTTCGCCCCGGGCTCTTGAGGTGAGGAGGGCTAAAGCCTGTTGGCAGGTCATCTAAAAGACTATAGGGGGCCCTATCGCCGTGTCTGTTATTCAGGTTTTGCTACTGTTTTACTTACATCAGAGAGGTTTTGGAACGGATTCCATTTGCAAGTATTGCAAACAATGTTCTTAAATACTACATTTATCAATTTTATGATGAGGCTGGGGTGTGGTGGTCGCTTATAAATGTTGACAGTACAACACCTGGGTTGTCCCTGATCTGCCTTTCACATCTTGCGAATGTCACTATGTAGAACTGTCTAGGAAAAACATTAAAAAGCACTCAATCTCATACAGCCTTCAAGAAGGCAGTCCAGAAAGGAACCCAATGGGTATCAATTTCCACTTCTGACCGCCGATCCGCTGACTCACCCATCACTAGACCAATTAATTAAGAAACTCCTGGGAGCACACACCCTTGGCGAGACCCTTGCATGTCCTGTTTCGATGATGTCTTGCGCAAATGTTCCACCTCACAACAAGTGCACCTGTGATAGGGCCTTCATATCAGAACGATGTGTTTGTTTCTGGAGACACCGAGAGGTAAAGCCAAGCAACGTTTTTAGGATGAGGTACTCAAGTCATACTCCAGTAGGCTTCACGCATGGAACCCTCTACGAAGCCTTTGCCTGTCTTAATGCGACAGGTGCAGGCCTATAGAGAGAGAGAGAGAAATACAGTAAAAAGAAGAATGGTCTTCACTGTCACCGCCCACGAACAGCATGGTTCACATAGAAATTGTCTGTAATTCCAGATGACTTTGCTGCGGGCAGAAAGTAGCCACTCTCTGCTGTAGACGGACTCTGCCTTCGAAGAGAATATGCACAGTACATGACATGCGTGAACGTGAAGACAGAACTATTTGGCAATGGATCAAAAGCGGGGACCCTGGTTGACCACTGAAAATGAACAGACCTACCAGGGGACCCGGGCTCCAGGTTTTGACCCACCGCCATCATCCATCCATTCTTTTTAGATACCACAGCAAGTGCCAGGCCTTGCTGGCATGACCTGAGGGTCATTTCAGGTCAGCAAACGGTCGTTTCCAGAGGAAGGCGGAGTTCGGCCTGCTTCGGAAGGCGTGGCCTCTGAAGCCTCAAAAAGGTTTCGACTTCCGGACACCGTTGGGGAGACTTCCCCATGCTTCTGTAACGCTTGTGTCTGAACAGTTTTGGTGATGTGGTGATGCTTGGCCTGGTGTTCGACTTGAAACCTCGGTACAGAAACGGCAGTGAAGCAAAGAAGAAAGGGGCTTGCATTCATCAGAATCCAGGAAGCACACGTCATCATGAAATCACCCAAGCCGTCTTCTCCTAGCCTAAACCAGCTGCGGATTTGGCTGAGCTTCTTGATGAATGTCGACTCGTCACCAAAGAAGCTTCGCTGCGATTTCAACCAGCTTTCCCTTCGGAAGAGCTGAAGAGCTCACGTCCTTTTCTCAGCGGCGAGATTCGGTGCTCTTCTGGCACCAGAGTCTGAAAACTTGAACTCGAGTCTCGTGTTTATGACCAGATACTTTGGCATCAGTTGTCTGAGAGCTCAAGACCTGAAGCTATGATTCGTGCCGCAAAACGGTTCTTTCTGAACGACCGGCAATGCAAAGCGAGCATTCTGATTCTGTGCACAGCTACAATATCAACGGCACTTGGCCAAGCCCATGACAAAGCTTTGGAACCGGGCACCTCGATGGAGTGTTGGCATACCGGGCACCTTGAGTAAAGCAAGCAAAGCGATCGATGTGCCAACCCTCGAAACCGTCCTCGGAGCCCGCAGCAAGCAGCTTTCCATGCAGGGTAGATGGGCATAGTGTAGGCCTAGGTATTCCACACGTTGACAGAGGAGACTGCCTCATGGAATCCAACCGCAACAGATTTCCACCGACGAAAGACGGTGGTTGAAACATTTTCAGTAATTGATGACGAAAGACAATAGTTTTAAGTAGTTGTCTTGCATCATGATCGTCCTTGAAATCAAGTGTCCCGTGGCACTGTGTTATGATTTGTGATGTGCGGCAAATGGACCAGTGGGTGGCATCTAAGTTGTTTTGGATATCTTCCTCTATGAGTATGTTTCTTGGTGTCTTCTTATGAGCTGGTGGATGGTTGGATGCCCTTGGCATCTATCTGCATGGCAAAGAATCATTGGTTTTTGTAGACCAATTCTGCGTCTAGATTCAGCATTCATTCAATACCCAGCTGCATGGCAAGCGCACAATTCGATCGCCCGCTTGATAGTCCACAAGGCCTCTAGCCAAACAAGAATGAGTCTTCCCTCTGAAAATCACACACTTGAGGTATAGAGCAAGAGCAGAAGTGCGCAAGAGAAAGAGCGAGAGAGGGAGGTTGAGAACAACTCACAATTGGCTGAAGCACCACACTGCATCTGTCATACTGTTCACTGTATATCTTCCAGGTTCACGGACAAATGCTGCACTCACGATGCCCATCTTCCTCAACATGAGGAGCGAGTTCCGCGGTTTGCCGTCGCGTTTGCATGCCGCCGGTCCTCACGGAGGTGTGGAGACCATTGCCTGGCGAAGGACGACATGTCTGAAGCACCACGTGTCGAAGATGAAAAAAGAACGTGCTGGCGGAACTCAGGTTCGAGGATTGACAGAATCTTTGCTGCCTGGCATCGAGAGAAAGAAAACCATACCAACCACAGATACTAGTAACAAAGCTTCTTGCTACTAGTAGCGATGCCCTAGTAGCGATGCACTTGTTACTACTATCTTCAGAAGCTGCCGATGAAACATCTTTTTAGAAGAATGCTTGCCCATGCTTCTCCCTGATCGATGCTGCTGACCTGGATCGAACCGTATGAAGAGTCTGCTTCTTCAAGTATATCGGCCTGCCAGGGACATTGGGAACAGTTGTACCAGAGGAATCATGGAGCTTTCCAGGGAACAAACCAGCAACGCTGAGCGACGCAGCAAGCTCCAAATCGACTTCAAGTTGTGAGTGCACTTTTCTGCTGTCTTTTTTTATGTCTTGAGCTGTCAACTTGTGAAACCATCTGAGTCCATGCAGCTACTGATCAGGCCGATCTGCTCCAGCATGACATTCGCCGCTGCCATTGATGTTATACCTATACAAAAAAGACGTCATGATTCTCCGCCCACACCGAAAGGACAAAGACACCAGACAAGGGACCCTTGGGACCCTTGGGACCCTCAAGGCCTATGATCATAGGCTGGTGCAACTTCAACCACATCAGCAGCAACAATAGGTAGTCCTTTTAAGCCTGTCAGCCAGAGAAGAGGACTAGCTGAGTCTCAGATACAATATCTATTTATCGTATTGTCTTCTGTCGTGCATTTCTCAAAATTTACTGCACTGGTCGGGAATGGACGGTCAAGAGCATAATGGCATAATGATAAATCTCCCCATGAATAGGATGTACTCCCACACCGAGTCGGATCAGCCTCTAATAAATTGAAGAAGTTGGTGAGCGAGCAATCCGCCAAATTCTGGTGTACCGGTGCCTGCAAACAAAAACGAAACACCCATGCATTGAGACGTCGTCACCGTCTGGCCTGGAGCCACGGACGGGTCGAGAACATCAATATCCACAGAGAGATACACCGGAGCTCCTTCGTGACGGGTCGTTTGTCTCTCACGGGAAGACACCGAGAGAAGAGAGCGTTTCGCAAAAAGACGGTCCTCCGGAGTCTTGCCACCGTCTTCGAACGACATCAACGCAAGCTTCCACACCCTTTTCATGTACATCCTGCCATACAAAGCCCATTTGTGGGGAGAGAAAGGAGGACATCATCCATGACAGCTGCAAACATGCATACCAAAATTTGGATGCTTGTTGCCCTCAGTAGGGCAACCACCTTCACCGGGTTGCTTCGTCTTTTCTTGGTCGTCGACTCCGTCGACTCCGTCCTCGGCCGTCAGGGTGGCAATTCCCATGGCATCTGAGTCGTGAAAGTCGTCGGCGGAATAGGTCGTAGCACGAATTCCAATGTGCGTTGATCCCTCTCTGGCCAAAAGACCCTGCAGGAAAAAGCAGGGTAACTTGAAGATTCAACAGTGCCAGAAAACGAAACCACTTAAAACAGTTAAGAATTAAAACCCAAAACCAAACAAATCATAACAAATCCACTAACTGTAAAACTCGGGAGCGCCGAGCGCCATCCCACCTCTGCCCAGCAGTTGCGGAAAGGTGCTCCATGCCAAACATCCTGCGGTTGTTGTTTTCACTGCAAACGATCTCAAGCAATCGGCATTCATCCCTGCCTGGCCCCACAGTTTTGGGAAGGTGTCCAAGTGCGAGTCGAAGTGAACCAGCACAACTGGCCCAAATCTTTCGGCCACCGCCTTAATGGAAGGATAGCTGAGCGTGTGATCTCCTCCGAAAACCACGAGACGTCGTGACATTTGCAGTCTCTCCTTGCAGCCCTCGTAAATTTGTTGAACGGCCTGATCTATATTGAAAGGTGTTGCAAAGACATCTCCAGTGTCAACCACCTGCCTATCTTGGAGGGGCCTCTGCTGCTGAGCAATCAAGTATGGTCTTGTCAGGCGAGAGTTGCTTCTGATGGCTTCAGGTCCGAACCGCGCACCTGGCCTGAAGCTGCACCCCGTGTCAAATGGTACACCCACCAAAGCAATGTCAAACTGCTCCAGACGTTTCTCCAGAAAGATCTCCATTTCAAGACGCGAAATCTTGCCGTTCGGACTTGGAAACTCGAAAATGTGACGATGCCAAGCATCCGGCAGTGTCCAAAGAGCCAGTGTGGCTTGCATCCCTTGTAGCTCCACCTCTAGGTTACTGTGCTCTTCTGAAACACTCAATGACACCTCCTCGCCAATTGCCTCGAAATCACCCATTGCGCCTCCTCGAAGTCTGGCCAAGGCCCCACTCTTTGCCTCCTTCGGGCGGAGCCGCAAGACGGCCGTTCTGGCGGCCTGCAAGCTGCGAAGCTCCTGGAGCTGCGGCAGCCGCGCGAAGGTGGCCATCCCCGCGAAGCGCGGCAGTGCTCCGATGGCCACGGGCCCAAAGGGCGGCGCCCACGGCGCCCCGGGGACGTCCGGAAGCCTCATCCGAGGAGTGGCACCCTCCGAAGTCACGAGCTCCGGTTGACGCTTTGGTGAGGGTCTTGGCAGATCGCCAGCACAAGCGACGGCTCTGAGACCGGCCTTCGATCTCCACTGCGGAGGAATGAACTGGGGCTGTGCTCCGATGATATCAGGTGTCCAGTCAAAATCTTCTTCCCTCCCAGCGCGGCGTAAGCAGGGATAGCACTTGCAAACATACTGCCACTTTTCTGCGGAGCATCGACAACCGTACCTTGGCTTTGAAACTGGGTTGTGCCCTGCATCCATCAGAGCCACCCACAGTGGCTCCTCTGCATGACCATTGATGTGGCCAAGGACCGTATGAAGACGCCGCACGCTTTCCATAGCGCCAAACTACAGTCTGCTTAGTTCTGCTGCTTTGCTGCTTTTGTGACCTTTTAGACTCTTTACATCTGCTATTGTTTCCGACCTCAGCACTGACCACTTTGGCTTTTTGATACGTAAACCAAACGATCCAGTCCATCAACCGGACACTTCACAAGTAGAGCAGAGGATCACACACACTCACACATACAGGACCTCGTGCTGAAGCGGCATCTCGTCTCCAGCTCGATCGGCCCAAGTCCGCGAGGGCTCCTGTGCGATCGACGATCGAGTTTCGCACGTTTTTAGTGATTGCAATGCGATCCCCCCAGCTCCAAGAACAGTGATTCGCGAACATGAACGCAGCTAAGCAGACGTGTCCAAACAGTCAAGTTGAGAAACGTTCAGCTTTTCGGGCCCGGAAAGCTTCATGGGTCCTCAGCCTGCAGCTGTGCTACAAGCAATTCTGGGCCTCCAAAAGCGAGTTGTTCAGTGTACCAATAGGAGCGCCTACAGTTCAAACCACGCTCCAAGGCGACTGCTTGGTTGGGTAGGATGGGGAACCTGGAGCGAGTCTTTTGCACACAAGACATCAAAAGACTTCCCAAATCCAACAATGGTTTGTAAAAATCGCACAAAATGGAAGCAGTAACTGAAGAAGTTGAATCTGAGCTCGTCTTGAAGCTGACTGCAAGATTCCAGAAAAGTTATTTGCAGTTCCATGTCGAAGCACCCTCGCAGTCTGAGGAGCAAACCTGTGGCCGGCACCAGCCTGCACCACTTCATCATACTGTGTATATATATAGTGTAAACGATGCAATATGATTAACATATCAACATGGATCAACATCAACAGTTCGTCACACGTGGACACATCTCCTGGAAGCCAATCATCTCCTTCCCGTGTGCCAGACGGTAAACGACCTGGTCAAGTGTCCGAGACTAAAAAGGCCGTCGTTGTTCCGGACATCAGTCCTGCTTTCAGAAAGACAGCGGCGCACAACAAAAAGACGGCCTGGATCCATCACAGCAGTGGCTTGCAGCATAACCTGTCACTGACCCAGTCTACCAGCCTTTGAAAAGTCTCAGTTTGCATGCTGATAGCACATCAAGAACGTGGTCCTCCAATGCGGTTCACAAGGTGTACCAGGCCATGGGTCATAAAGCCATAAAACCCTGATAACTGATCCCATCAAAACTAGACGACGGTTGGCCCGAGAGCGAGACATGTAATTGTCCAGCACTGTCGAAAAGATATATAGAAAGAGAGAAAGAGAGGGTGGATGTGAAGGAGTGACAGTGGTAGATGTATGGAGGTGGAGAGGTAGATCTGTGGATGTGAGCGTGCGAAGATGTAAATGCACAGAGACGAGAGAAAAGATATGTAGAAAGAAAGAAAGAAAGAAAGACAGGACAGATGTGAAGGAGCGACAGTGTGGATGTACAGATGTGATATAGATGTGCAGATGTGTGGGTGTGGTGAGGTGGAGAGGTAGATCTACGGATGTGAGCGTGTGAAGATGTAAATGTAGAGAGGTGAGGGGGTGTAGACGTAGATGCGTCGATGCAACGGCAGTGCAACGTCAACCTTAGTTGCGCAAGTACGACGCTGAAGAGGTTCAAATAGAACTGAAGAACGTACATTTCACACTGAAGTTTCCACGAACAGGGCGACCTGAGAGTAAACGACGTCACGACCATGACAAGCGACTCGTGTATTCCAAGCGAACATCGTTTGTCATGAAGGTGAAGTACACACATACTAACGTCACGATGACTCTTTTGTGGCAGCCACGTATGAGTAAGCAAAGTAGCTAAAATTTGTCAACCTCTCCAGAGAGCCGGGTGGTCGGGAGACATGACTCAGCTGCAGGGGCGCCAGAGTAGCCGCGAGAGATGACTCAGCCGCGAGAGATGACTCATCCGCGTACTAAAGTTGTACTACAAAGTCGCCAGTTCTCAGCTTCCAGCTCCACAGCTTGCTCCGCGTACTAAAGTGGTACTACAAAGTCGCCAGTTCTCATCTTCCAGCTCCCCACATACTCCGCGTACTAAAGTTGTACTAGAAGTCGCCAGTTCTCAGCTTCCAGCTCAACAGATTGCTCCACGTACTACAGTTGTACTACAAAGTCGCCAGTTCTCATCTTCCAGCTCCCCAGATA